TAATCCCTTTTAGTTCGTGTTCGTTTTTTTGTAGTCACGGTGGTCGTACGGGGGAGGGGGGCAAGTGCGCTAGAGGCAGAACGTAACACGTGAACTCCTGGCAACGTACGGGCAATTTTGTAAAGTCGTGTGAAACATTGAAAATCTGCGGAGTGCAAACTCTCGTTTGCCGCCACTTCTGCGTTTCTTTTTAGTGCAGCTTCCAGTGTTTGCGAGAGCAAAGAGGGCCGGAATAGTGACGATTTTGCGCTAAGCTACAGGTACAGCTATGGTCCCTGCAAATGATAGGGCCTGTGACAAGGGCATGGCTTGGAGTGCAGTCAGATCAGATTTTCCATCAGCTGTATCGGGCTCGTTGGTACCGTTGTGGGAAAAAGGCATTTTGGCTGCACTGCAATCCGCGCCTCGTCACACAAACTATTGTTTGCGGGGATCATTACGTTAGTTCGCCGTGAGCTTGAAGACCAGGGGTGCATATTTCCCTTTGCCTTTCCAGGATTTGGGTCAGCAACGAGCCGACGACTAGGAATTGCCACGAGGCTCCAGAACACAAGTATTTGCATGTCAGCTCATCCTGCCTGTCCCCCCCCCCTCCCCTTCCAGGTGTTCGTGCCGAGGGTTTATGCCTAAACGTTCACACAGGAATCAAAAAGTTGATGAGATGCCTTCAAGGCCCCTTCTTGGTTTCTCTTTGTGGGTAAATGTGCTACGGAAGGACCTGTTTCAATACTGCTCACAGATCTATTAGCCTATAGAGCGATTTTGGGAGAGGAGCGCTGGGTCGGACGTCTAATCGCACATTTCATGACGAACCAGAGAACTGAGGATTTTGCGCTAATGCTATTGTAGTTCAAGTCAGGGGGGGGTGGCGAAAACGGTAGTCTTTTTATCTTCCCCTGTATTCTGTCTGGTGAACTCTAGTTCGCTGTAGATGAAGTGGCAGTATGAGTATGCCAAGGCGCCAATACCCGTTCTCTGCCAGCTGTTGAAGTGATGCGACAACAACTGGTAGAAAGCAAGTAATACGAACGATTTGGTACAGTCTAGTTTCTTGCTCACTTCAGCATTGAGTGGAGAACGGGCTTGGCACCGCGCCAAACCCATCCCACCTAACACGCCGCAGCAAACTCGACTATACTCGATAGCTGTTGCTGAAAAATTGAGTAACGGTTCGCTAAGCATAGCATTATTCTTCATTTCTTCACTGAGCACACATATCCAACAACATAATTGTTCATTCTATTTTGTACAGACATCACGAGGTGATCACAAACGTCGTCGACTTCTCAAGAATTCAGAGGCTGCTCTTCGTCGACGCAGAACATCTGGTTCTGAAAACAAAGCAGTAAGTTTGTATTCAAGCCACTCAATCTTTTTAAAGTTTTTTTAAAATTTTTTAGAAAAGAATTTTTGCCTTGCATCGTTCCAAAGCTGTGGATTCGTAAAAAATTTGAAATTTGAATGCTGACGCCGCGCGAACGCACGCGGCATATACCTACACATATCTATAGGAGCACCAAGTAGTGGATGATCATTTCGGTAACAAACTGCGGGCCGTCCGCATCAAATTCTATTGGAAATCTAGGAAAATATCTCTCTGATCTGAGACAGGTGCTCTGGGTACTTATACAGAAGAGGCCGATGTCTTTAGGTTTGGCATGAATGGCATATGTAGACCACAACCAATTTGATGCTGCTGACTTCTCCAAATAAGACCCTCCCCCTTTTAGATTTTCGAAAACGGTGATTCCCAATTTTTCAGATGGCTCAGAGAAATTCAACCAAGATCTTACAGTAGCTACATTTTTTTGATCGCTCAACTGTAACACCGTAAGGCTTTGATTACCCTATCGGTCTCGGTGCTCCCTTCCTGCATGGAAAAAATTGTCGGCCACCCTGAAGCAAAATCTAGGTTGGCTCCCCCCAAAGCGCGTAACGCCTCTCAAGCCCTGAAGAATTTTAAACTATACTTTCCCCAAGTGATTAGCGTGAATTTGAAATGCATACGGTAGCGCATTATTAGTTTTTGTTCAAGCATTCTGAACAAGGGAAGGGGATTTGAACGATTTCCACTTAGGATTTTCACGTGATAAGATTCATTATTCAATGATTTGGCTGGTTAGAAAACGCAATTTAATACTACGTAAATAATTTAATTCTACAAAAAACTTAGGATTAAAAATGGATTAAAATTTAACGAAAACTGAAAGTAGCGCTTCATATTTGAGAAAGATTACGGTAATTCACTAGAAATAATCCTTAAATTTAAATTTTCTTTGTTTCTCTCTTATTTGTTTTTTGAGGGCAGATTTTTACGGTTTAAAAAAGATGTTGATGTCAGAACACACCTTGGAAGAGCTGTTGATATGCTTTTTGTTGATTCATTGCCCTATTCCATGACGATATACTCCAATTTGGCGAATGTAGAGGAGTTCGCAGTAAGTTCACCATCACTGCAAATTGTTGTATAAATTATACAAATATTGCTCAAAATACTCACTCTTATTATTGAAAGCCCCTTTGAAATGATAAAAATTTGGTCTAGTTCGGCTCGGTGTGGGCACCAAGTGGTACTCAGCGAACCTGCACAGGTTCGTCTGTAAAGGCCTGTAAACTCGTGTTACCAAAGTGGCTCAGTTGTATCACTTGCCAGCTTCACAGGAGATCACAGGCCTCCCCAATGTCAGACCTGTTAGTTAACGTGAACTAGCAGAAGGAACCTGCAAAAGTGCCCCCTCATCACGATAAAAAGCGTCGAAATTTTTTACTGAAAGCGTACGTTACTGGACCAAGGGTAATGTAGTGGGTGGAAATGTAGCATAGCACCCTCTTAGCTTGTAAAATCGGCTGCTATCCAAGCCAATTAAGCTGTCCACCTCTGCAGCTTTTTGATGCCAGACATGTCTATAGACCAAGAGTGTTGCACTTAAGATGAATGACCAGCCTACGCAAATTTTCAATCATCTACGTAGAAACGGTGAGACAAAAAAAGAAATTATCTCTCCAAGGCCTTGACATTTTCCTACAGACGTTTTTGTTTTTGTGGAGGTCGAACATTTCCCTTGAAGTGCATGCATTCTACTTCAATTCAACATCTTAGTGGCTTATTGAATGCTTTACAGCCAAATACAATGACTTGCGGGGGCCAGCCGATGTACAAGTCAGTGTTTTATCCTCCCAGACGAATCTGGTACCAATTTACCGTTCCCGGAGGGTAGAAGGCTTGCTTGGCCTGGCGGGAGTCTTTCTGGGTTTCATCCCTGGGACCGTGCGTGTGATAAGCCACCTGTGCCACACTACATCGTGAGTTCGGCGACCGGGGGAGGGGGGAAGGGGGGGGGGGTAGACGCTTCGCTACTTCAATAGTTCTGGTTTACAAGTGTTAGTGTGCTGGAACATGTGAACTCTTGCGAAGCTGAAGCAAGCTCGCTGAGCCATCATGGCAAAACCCATCAGTCCTTGTAAGCCCACGAAGTGGCTCTCTAGTTGAGTTAAGAGTTAACTCGTCGATGGGAAGTAGCAAAAGTGCACAATGCCCACCCCCCCCCTCCGTCCCGTCGTTCAACCACCACTTGTATCCATCTTCGCCTCTTGTGACCTTTACCGTAAACAATCAAGCCGAAACTGGGTCAAAACTAGCGGCGTGTTCCCTAGCTAGTTGACCCGACATACTGTAACAATTTCATGTCAAGCCGACTGAATCCTGTCGTAAGAGCCGCGTAAATGACACCGTTTGCAGCCCTGCAAACGCGGTGACGTGGATGCTCCCCTCTACCCCCTCCCCACACCCTGTAGCACTAAATCACTTTTTCAGCTCTTTTATCTTTTTTTTCAGCTAAAGCATCCGTAATATATCCAAAGGTTTCTAAAGTCCTTATTTGAAAGAAACTGAGGGCATTAAGTGACCTGAAAGGTCACGTGGTGATAGACACTCCCTTTTTTCAGCATAACTGCAAAAACTGCCTATGATGTGATTAGTAATTTGCTTCCGTGCTTTTGGTTTTTGCAAAAGCGTCTTAAAGAGTTGCACTAGTGCTAAGTAGCTTTTGCTCTTCTTCTGGATTCTAAGTAGTTAGTAGTAAAGGGCAATTAGTTCCTGCAAAGCTACTCAAAGCTACAGTAATCTCCCCTCTCCCCACGGAAACCTTGACTTATCTTGGTTAATACATATGAGAGAGACTTTCACCAATCAGTGCAGATCGTAACATAAAAAGAGGGGAGGATAAAGCCATGGGGTGCAATCCTCGTTTTGAATCGCGCCATGTGTTCCATTTTCATGTAGAATCGTAGAGGCATTTGAATGCTATTTAGGCTATGCCATGACTTGCGGGGACCAGCTGATGTGCAAATCCTTTGTTCTCTCTGGCGTGTCGGTACCAATTTACTGATCTTAGGGGGATGGAAGGCTTATCTGTTCGCGGAGCGCAACTAGAGTTGACTAGGGAGCCCTAACCTCTAGGCCGTGCACGCCTTCCAGCCCCGACCACCAGTCAAACCCACATTCCACTGCAAGTACCTTTCATTCACGGAAATCACATGCATAATTCATTCAAGCCAATCAAATTCCCGTGGAGATTAGGTTAAATAGAAGGTGCTGGACGGTACTCAAAACTAATTCTGCATCGACTAATGTTGTTCGAAATATAGTTAGGTTAATTATTCATATAATATAATATACGGAGAACTTGTGCCCAATTGGAGTAGAGAGCCTGCTCAAAACGAGGACACAATGTCCTGTAACCAACTTATGAAGGAAAAAAATTACTGGAAAAAGCAGACAGCTGAGTGTGCCCCAAAAAAGCTAAAAGTCCAAAAAAACATGATTGTGACGCTAACTTGATTTCACCCTTCGTTTGCTGTACGTAAAGGTGACGTAAATCCGTAAATTCAATTCCACCCTTATTTATGGGCTAATGCCGTTTGGACTCCAGCAATTTCGGCACCGAGCTCATTTTTAAATTGCCTAAGTCACCAAATCCGCTAAAAACTTGTATATAGGGGTAGTTTAACATCCTGATTACGAATATGACATTCACTCTTGTCGCTGGCGCTAATGGATGACACTACGATTACCTCCTGGGCTCAGCCTTAGCAGAGCGCAGATAATCGTAGTGTCATCCATTAGCGCCAGCGACAAGAGTGAATGTCATATTCGTAATCAGGATGTTAAACTACCCCTATATACAAGTTTTTAGCGGATTTGGTGACTTAGGCAATTTAAAAATGAGCTCGGTGCCGAAATTCCTGGAGTCCAAACGGCATTAGCCTTATTTATGACGATAGAATTTCCGGTCAAGCAGGAGCTATTCAATGAGTTGCGGCTATCAGATGGAGCCGGTTCTAATAGGGGGGGGGGAGGAGAGGGGAGTCGCTGCAGTCATGAATCGTTTTTCTATATTTCGAACGATCCATGACCGCATTTGATAGGGCTCATCGGACTCACTCAAGGATGAAAGCTTTTCCCTTTTGTTCAAGCTGGAATGGCTCTATGAATGACAAAACGGAGGGGAAAAAAGCTCCTAAGAGGGGATCATTGAAAATGCAAGGTCCACAATCTTATTTTAGTTGGAGGAATACTGACCTTGGAAGGAAAAGGTTTCTTGGTCGAAGTTCAGTAGAACGCCCCCAACCGAGCCGAGCTGCGCCGAAGATTGTCCTCTTCTTTTTCTAAGCGGCGCCATTTGCTGCTACACCATCCCTTCCTCATAAGGGTTATCACGTTAGTTATCGCACGTGGCTCAGGACAAAGGCCTAAGCCCCCGTAGATAGGAGCCCAGCACAGTGACGCATCTCAAATTTTGCAGATATTTTGCAGATAATAGCTGTTTAAGCAGCTGTTTACAATTGAATTAAAGGTATTAGAGTTTAACATTTACTTCAGAGCGTAGATACCTGTCAACTTTGTCCAAAGCAGATTAGAAGAATGAAGGGTTTGGCATTCTCAATCGCTTAATGTGTTATAATACTTCCGGAAATCTTTTCATAATCACAGTGGTAATTTAAGGCGATTTTTCTCACACCATGAGTAGCTGACGTAGGCAAGTCAGTGTTTTGCACGGTTGAAGGTCGAGTCTTCGACCGGCTCCCCCTTCCCCTCAACACCTTCTTCACGGCTTTCCGAGGCCCAGGATCCTTCCAGTTGGCCTCAGTTCCCTCTGGGACAACGAAGCTGTACATCGGCTGGTGTCACTGCATAGGCCAAAACGTATTCAGAATATCATTTCGGGCGCATTCCAGCATAAGTTGGGCGGGCGGCGGGGGGGGGGGACATCACCCACTTCCACTAGTTCCTTCTGCACTCATATTATTAACAGGTTCCATTAAGGTTCTACCTGTAAACTCTTGTGAAGCTGTGAAATGGTAGTACAAGTGAGCCACTTTGCTTACAGAAAAGAACAGGTCTTCACAAGCTGACCTGTACAGTTTCTCAAAGTACAGCCCCAACCCCCCCCCCTCTTTTCGGCTCGCGGAACTCACTCGTTAGGGTTCTGAACAAAGGAGAAATACGTGGCGCATTTCAGAAGGGATTAATCCTCATTGAAGGCTTCACCCGTCTTACCTTCCACCGCGGTGTCTTACTTTGGCTTTCTTATTTCACTTATGCAGTACGTAGGTCCCTTCAATAAGTAATGGTAAAGAGACTTCTCAGACGGATTCTGCGAATTTTCTTGTCAAGAATGTAGCAAGAATATACGATACGTGCTCGTGCATGGGATATTAGATAGCTAATAAGCTTTACTTCATGAATTCGTGTTCTTCTTAATAGGAGTGACGTTAACATAAAGGCTGTTTTGTACTTGAGAAAGTTGGGCACTCTCAGAAAATTACCGTATCCGCTTCAGTGAACATTAGGTTTTCTAGAAGTTCACCAACACCGTCATATTTTGCTAGTTTCCCAACCGTGTGGTCGAAAGACCACCAGACTAGCAGCCAACTCTGCAGAAATCGCTCCTTCCTACAGGAAAACAGAGGCGAAAAAACACAGTGAAGGAGGGCAAAGTGAAGTGTGAACAATTCCTGAATGTAAGGCCGCATTCGGTACAGATCGGCGACAGGAGGGGCATTTTGCACGTTTGCTGCTTCCAATTGTCACGCTGACCCAACAAGTGTGAAATTTGGTGAAGCCAAGTGAACTTGGTGAAGCCAGAGGTGAAGTGATACCAGTCGAAACTACCTGTCAACGCTTGTAAAGAATACCTGCCAACTCTTGTGAAGCAATAGAAATGGGAAAGTGCAAAAGTGCAAATGCCCCCTCCCTCCCCCTTGTCGCCGAACTGCTCCCGAGTTGGACAACAGTGTTGACCATTCACGCTTGGGAAGCGGGAATACTTGTAGACTAGGGAACTGTTCAAGAACTGCGGGGGTGGGTTATTTACGGCCATGACGAATGTTCTGTTATGGATATAGGAATGCATATAAAAATATAGAATGGGCATAACTAAGCGTGAAAATCAGCTTTTTCACAGCTGATTTTACATGACAGCTGCATCACTGATTTTATGGGGGAAAACGTGGAAAAAGCCCCTGATGACGTCAGTAGGAATACAGTAGGAATCGTAATTATAGACTGCTGTA